TTCATCATGGCCAGAAAGATTAAACTCTGTAGGAAGCCATAAAATTGAAATCTTTTGAAAAAGCATGAGTTGGATACACAACAGGAGACTCAGGCAGAAGTTCAAACCGGGGAAGTTTCAGCCCTTCCCTGATGAGGAAAAAAGCCAGGAAAACTGGCAGTTAAGTAAAGAACACTAGGAAAGACAAGAAAGACAAAACAGATATAAGTTGAATAGGACAGTCTAGAATTGTGCAACCAAAACTGAAACTACAGCTTCAACATCATGTGGAAGAAGCAGAGGCATCGGATTACAGGATAAATATAAAGGCCTTGAAAAGAGAAAACAGATAAACAGTGGCAGTTTATCTGTTTTACAGAAACACAGCATTAGAAGGCCATACAGTACTGTCCACAAGGTCATCAAGAAATAACATGAGAAACAATGCTAAAGACAGATACTAGAAACTTCCAAACAGATATGTTGCAGAAAGGTACCATAAACACACCAAGGACTTCTACCAATAAAGTCCAAATTTCCCTTCTTTAGCAACATCCAGCTGAAATTCTTTCTCCTAAAATCACTACGAGGTAATTGCATGAATAAGGGTCAGAACTGGGGAACTGAAACAACAACCTGAAGGAAGTACATCACACTCACACATTTCTGCAAAGCACAGGAGGTAGGACAAGCACAGTGTATCGTGACAGAAACAACAGCCTCAGCACTGGGGCTATAGCAGCCACTGTAACACTCCATTAAAATACCCAGGGCTCATTCCCCAGTGGCAGGAAACTGCTAACCTGCAACAGCTTGAACTGCCAGTGTCTGGGAGTAGGAATTTTGGAAGCCTCTGCCTTGGAGTGATCCCTCTCATAGCAAGGTTTACTCACTGAGGGTAGCAGAACAGCAGCAAAGCTGCCCTGTGCTGCTCACTGCAAAGGTCATGGCAGCTGTGGTATCAAACCAGAGACTTATATCAAAGGAGAAAAACACCTCTTGTTAGGAGACTATGGATTTATAGTCTGAAAACTGAAATAGAAAACTGGAATCACACCCATAATGATAAATCTCAGTTTCCCAGACCTGGAAGAATGAGAGCATCAAAGCACATCCAGGCAGGACTTCTGAGAATGGTGTTCTCAGTAGGCCTCTGTCAACATAACTGCTGCAGAATAAGGAATTTGTGTCTTTGAATTCAGATGTCCCTGAAGGACTACACAGATACCAGAAACAAATGAAAAACCAAGTGGATAGCACTAACAGTGCCACTAGAGAAGAAGAAGCTGAAGTAATTGAGTCCCATGAGCTTGCAATAAGATGGAAATTGGCTTGGTTTGTCCGTGTGACCAGAACAATGGAACTAGCAAAGACGATTCTGTGGGGAAAAATCGGAGAGGAAAGGAAGGCTCAGGGACAGTGTGACTCAAAGACATCTGCATCTAGATGGAGCAATGGTGGGGAGATCCAAAGAGTAAAGGGAACATGAATACAGATTCCAGACAGTGCCTAAAGAAGACACTCTTCAGAGCATGCTGGCGTTTGAAAGTGGAAGATGAGACAATCATAAATACATATAACAGTTCATCTGGCCATGTTCTGTTCATTTACTAAGTTGCCAAAGGCTACAAAAACAGAGTATAGTCACCAATGAACCACTGATTCATGTTGCTAATGCTTCTGTCACCCATAAAAAACGTCAATTAATTATTATCTCCTTGTTTCAGACTACTCAAAATTACCCACTGATCTACACATTTCCCCTTTTATTTCGTGAAGGTGACATTTTTCAATGGGCTTCTAAATATCAGGTAAAACTCAATATGCTGTGGCAATATGTTTGGCTCACAGAATCCAGCCTATTTTTTCTCTTGCTTTTGATGATATTCTTGACATTCTGGCACTGTTATGGCGAGATGTAGATATTTCCTTGCTCTTCAGGTGCCCTGGATCTAATTTTACAAGCCCAAGAAAGGTGATTTTTTTCTTCGCACTTTTCATCAGGATTACAGCAGTCTGGCAGATGTCTGCTTGCAGATTCTGCAAAAGTCATGAGTTCCTATAAATGGCACCATCACGATCCCTCTCTAAGCAGCAGTTCTCATGTCAATGAAATGTCCCCAGCTACCCACAACACACCCACAGCCAGAGAAAATCACCTCTTCCTGACTGTCTTCTCAGAGCAGGGTGCCTTGAAGGCAGCAATGGCTCTGGGGAAGAGAAATATTGTCCCAGTCAGCAGAGCCCTTTTAGCTGTACAAAATTGTTATTTTCTGTGTTGTTGCAAGAATTAGAAACATGCAGCAGGATGCATATAATGGTCTCCACAGGTGAATGGCAACCATTCCTACAAGAGAAGTTCCTGTATCAAACCCATCATCTGCCACCCAAAAGAAAAGCACTACTTATCAGTGATGTCTGCTGGTGTCAGCAGGTGTCTAGAAAAAAACAGGTGAAGAGAAAAGTATTAAATTTTCTCCCAAGGAAGATGTTCCCCACGGGAGTTTGCAAGGCTTCCCCCACGAGTGCTGTGCTGGGAGCAGATCCAAGTAGCCATGGCAACCCTGTGCAGGCTGCTTGACACGGCCATGGTTCAGAATAAATTTTGGGTTGAGTATTGGTCCTGATGGTGTTAGAACCTCGAGTAATGACACATCTAAAGTACTATTCTTACTATTCTTCCATCTGTTCTTGCTTGTTTGCAGGCTGACCAAAAATGTCCCAGGAGAGCTGTGGGTCTCTGAATGATGAATTCCAGCCTGCTGAGAAATATGCTTGGTTTTGTTACCTTCTATGAACTCCCAGAGCAGGGACAGTCCTATTTATATATACCACCTGCTGAAAACTTCTGTCCTTGAGCTTCAGCAGCTTTTTTGTACCTAGTCTTTTCTAGCTGTATAATTCCTGGTGATTTGTGGTGTTTTATGCAATTTAACTATATATGTGCAGAGAAGTAGCTATGTGGTGGCAAGGCACTTATATGTGGAAACTCCTGACCCAGAGGCACTCAGACTAATAATTTTTTTGTCTAACATTTAAGCTCCCAAGTGGCAGAGCTTCCTGGCACAGAAACAATCAATAGTCCCAATCCAAGCAATTTGCTCATGTACGTGAGCATGTACAGGTGCAGCCTGGTCTCTTTTGGATACCTGCAACTCAGAATGCCAAAGTGAGCATGAGGTTCTTGACAGAAAAAAAACTCCCTTGAAACTATCATCATTTAATAGCTGGGGGTTCAAGTGAACTCAAACTCTTGAGTTTTGGTTCATTCTCCAGAACAGGACTGGGTTTTGTCTTTTATTTTTGTTTCCTGTGTCAGAATGGCAAAGCAGATGGGTTTCAAACTACAGAAATTGCTCATGGTAGATATTTTGATAATCCCTGACTGAAATATGAGTCTTATTATGGAAAAAGAAAAAACTCACCAAACATGATTTTTCCAGTTGTGAGAGAAAAGTGAGGGAAAGGGATTGTTTTGCTTGAAGTATGTTTTAAATTCCACATTGCAGTCTGGTATGGGTGCATACACTGAAATTGAACTGTTCATGCTGATCCAACATAAGCTGATGCTAGGAATGACTGTTGAGAATTACATGGCCTTCTTCTATAAAAAATGCCTACATTGGAATATTCAGCCCAAAATAGCAACCTTCTGGGCATGGGCTAGAACAAAGGGAGAAGTAAAGGAAGGAAATTCCTGGTTTGGGGAATGAGATTTAAATCTGAAAAAGATACAATCTTGAGCATTTCCTTGCAAGGGGATTATCTTCTGGCTGGAAAACAAGAGCCAGGGCACAGAGGTGAGGGAGAGGAGAGCCAGGGGGATGCTTGCTTCCTGTAGGTGCTGGAGGCCCTTCTTTGCAGAAGACCGACCACCAGGCAGGCATGGCAAGGGGCTGGAGATGGCTCACAGGGCTGTGAATCACGGCTGACTGAGGAAGCTGAATCATAATAGCTGAGTTTTGTGTCCACAGCTCTGACCTGTGGGCTAGTACAGTGTGAAGGAAGATGCATAGCATCTGTGGGCAGTGCCGTGGGGGTGGGAGCTGGTGCTGCTCCCCAGAGACTCCTGGCACGCTCCTGTGGCAGCTCTGGAGTGTAGATTTGGGATGGTTCTTTTCCACCAGTAAGTGGACATTTCTGAGAATCCACTGCAGATTTCCTTTCCCTTGTCAGTGTCTATTGTGGGGGTGTGTTGTGCACAAACAGGCATAGAGTTTGTGAGACTATAAGGCTGAAGCAAAGATGGACACATCTCTCCTGCAGATCCAGGTCTTTCTCTCTGCCTTGGGTTATCGGTTGGTGAAACTTTCCTCACCGGCCAGTGAATTTTTTTCTAGTTTAAAAGCCAAAAGCTCTATAGCAACACGTGAGATTTGGGCTACACAATGCCCAAATGCATGTCATTATAAAGGTCATCTTAAAGAACTCTGCAATATGGTGGATTGTACTCTGCCACTTAAAGGAGAGTGCAGTCACTGAATAACACCACAGGAGGGAGAAGACAGAAGAGATACAAATAGGCTGTGCTCATACTGCCTGTGTGACCCAGGTCAGAGCCCACACACAGAGTAATGAAGCAGTAATTTCTATTTTTTTTTTTCTTCAAAGCACTTTGTCCGTCCAGACCAAACCAGATTCCAGCATGGAAAGTCACAAGGTCAGCCCTGTATGTATTGCAGATATGCACATCCTTACGGACACATGGGCTCATAACAATCCCTTTGCAAGTGACGTTGGAGGTTTTTTCTTCCCATTGATTCTGTTAGTGTCACAACACTTGGATATCTTGAGCTAACTTTTCAGAAAGCCAGGCTGAGACATTTCTTCTCTAGCGTCTCCCTGAAGAATCTTGTTGCATTTGGCCACTTGAAGCCAGTTCTTCATGTTTTGTCATATTAATCCATGCAATTACTGGACAGTCACAGAACACAAGACGTGCCAGCCAAACCTACCTAGTTTTTTTTTATCATATAGCTCAAAGAAAGCAGCTGCTGACTGTCTTCTCTGTTTTTCACCAGTCCTGTACCTGGAAGGATCTGTCCTTGTATTTGAGGATGTTTTCAAACTGGTTGCGTTCTACTGTGTCAGCAGGTGAGTTGGATTCATTGTTTCCTTGGCAGAGTCATTTTGCCCTCCCCTCTGATCTTCCCTTCCCTAGTCCCCAGTCCCAGCACAGACCCCTCTGTTTCCTTGCTACCCTCCAGCCTGCCAGACCAGAAGGTATTTCAGATGCTTGTGTCTACAATGGGGCCAGATCACCCCACAAGCACAGCTGTCCCTGCAGCTGGAAGCTTTGTCCATAGGGCTGCTTCCACAAAGAACAGAGGCACAGAACTGAGGCTAGGAGGGCAGGGAGGAAGAAGGGCCCTGAGTTAACTATTTATTTAAAGCTTTAAGCATACACACACACACATACACACACATACCTGGTAGCAACTTATCAAACCTACTAATGAACAACATGCTGCTTGTTGGTGACTCAAAGCACTTAGTCACCTATGGGGAATCTGTCAAGGAAAGTAGTCCTGAAATAATGTATGTTCTTTAGCTGAAATTTAAAACGAAAACAAAGTGTTTGTTTGCTAAGCACAGAAATACCAAGAAAAATGGGTACAGAGATGGGAAAAACTTGTAATGTCATTTTCACCAGTGCAAGGTTTGATCAGCAGCTGATGAGCCCCTTTGTGTGATTAAACCCATATGTCTGCACCCTCCTCTAATCTGTGTCCTTGTGCTTAGCGCACTGCAGCAATACCTCACCTACTTACCCCCTCCCTACTGCAGCAGGCCTGATTGTGCCTTGGTTATAGACTTTTGACTTCCTCTATATAAACTTACATGACTTTTAGAGTAGTTATTTCCTTTTAGGAGGAGAAAGCAGATTCAGGATATGTTTACAAGGCAGTCACATTAGTCACTTGGCTAGGTCACACAGTAGGAAGAGTCTGTCTAGGGTAGGGTGCAGTGTGCTATAACTTACCTAGACAGTCCCCCACTATTCCCAGGGCTGCTTCTGCAGCCAGCTGAGCTCAACAGTACTGAGCCACAACTCCTACCTGCATACAAGAAACCATGCTCCACCTCACCCTCATCAGTTAATAGACATTTAGCTATCTGCATGTGTGTAGACCCTATAGAATGGACAGAAGTTAACCCCCGGACCCTTATAAAGATTTCTTTTTCACCACAGCAAAGAGCAGCCCAAATGCAAAATAGAACTGGGCATTTCTAGTAAGTGGCTGTTGACAGAGAAAATATGCTCACATCTGTTTTCCTGCAAAAAGGATCATGGCCTGAGAAAGAGTCTCAGAAAGAAAGAAAGAAAAGTTCTTCTATTCACTCCTGTTATAGATGTTGTTTCTGAGTGTCAAATACACATTCAGAGGGTTCATGTGATTTTCTAGGCTACTGTCAAAAGACAAGATAAAAAGGGAATAATTTTCTGAAAGAAGCAAGTAATAAAAAGACACTGACCTAACATATGCTGGCAGCTCATAGGAGCTCTTTGTGATGGTGAATGTAGAGGCCTGAGAACAGGGATGTAGTAAATTATCTATGAATAGCTGGAAACAGCTTTTCAGGGCTGACAGGCTCTTCTCAAAAAACTTTTGCCTGGATATATTACCTACCTGTAGGTAATAGTTGACTTGGTGGCTGGTCTGCAAGCTGCTGCCCCATTAATAAAACCAGATTTTTTGAAAAGGGAAATATTCATGCATATAAAATAATAAAAAATGCAGAAGGTACATGGACCCTTTTCCTCCTTTAAACCTCATATCTTTCATGAAAAAATAATAAGCCAGGGAACATATCAGTTTATGTCAGTGTGACAACAGAGTTCTTAGCAGTGCACAGAGAATCCTTGGAGAGCACAAAACATCAGTAAGGTATGTATCTGTTAAAAAGGTCAGAAATAGGACCCCTGCATTCATCTGTCAACAGATAGGTCTGCAGTCCTGTGCTTTTTTGGGGTGTGCATTTGTGTAGCAGAGACCTCCTACTCACAAGGCAAGTTTTTTTCTATAACAATTCCTTGTACCATGTAGAACATTTTGTAAAGCTTGTAAAATGATCCTTCACCATTCCTTGTTATCATTTAGGGACTGGCTTTTCTAGTCCTTGTTAAAATGGGAATTGAGGCAAGAACAGGGTTAGCAAATCATCATTGTGCAAGAGGCAAACCTGAACAGTTTACTGGAAGAGCAAAGGCTCTGTTAAATTGCTTGAGATTTAGGGTGTGCTTCAGTGAAACCCGGCCAACATCTGAGAAACTCAGAAATCTTTTTTTTTTCAGCATTTTTCCAGAAACCAAGTACTCAGAAGTCTGAGAGTGGAGAGTTAGAGGGATATGTGTTTTCTCAGTGTCATGCAGCACTTCCTCACTGTCTGTCCCTTCACCCAGGGGTCACCCTTCCCCAGGCAGGGTCTTCCTTCCCTCATCCCTCTATGCCTTGCTGTGTACCCATGCCTTACACTTATAGACATTTTTAAAAGAGGAAGTGGAGTAGTAACAGATGGATAAACACAAAGTAAAAAGATTTCAAATCCTTTCAACATGAAAAAGATTGGGTTTTCTAATTAAAATAATTACAATTTGCAGCACCTCACTTTTAGTGGGAAGATACTTCAACCCTTGTGGCCTCCCCTCAGGTGAGAGGCATTCATGCTGTTTTCAGAGGACAGAGCCAAGACACAGTGATTAAACCAGTGCTTTGGCATGAAGCATCACCACAAAAGCTGGTGATCTTCTGTGAAATCAGAGCAACCCAGGCTGCCACAAAGTCCAGAATTCCTTACCAACCACGGCTTTGCAGAACACAGCTGAAATTGTGAGCCAATCCAATCACTAAAACCAAGTGAAGTCTGGAGTTCCTAACAAGTGGGGTTTATCCTTTTCTGCTTGTTTCTACAGGGATTTGCTGCCCTTTACCCTGAAGCTGCCACAAGCAATATTAGATGCCAGTAGCTTTCAAGACCTTGAAATTATCTCTAGTCTGGGGATAGGTAAGTACCTCAAAGCAGTCACATTTTACTTGGGCTTGTGGGAACAACGGTGCCTTACACAGACATAATACAGCTGGAAGATGGATGAGATAGCTTAGGAATAGCTTTGGAATAACTAAGGAGGTCTGAATGCAGGAGGAAGATGTTTTTGATCTTTTTGATTATAGCAGGATGCTGACAAAAAGGACACTTTGCCCTCTGGCCATAAACCTCCACCTGGATCTCTGTCCAGGCTGTGGTACCTGCAGTCTGGGTAAGCTGCATCTCTCACCAGCTGAAGTGCAGCACGACCTCTCAGGATAACTTATACACGTTGGAAGAAGCTGGCATCTGAGCTATATGGAAAACACCTTTGCAACTTCTCCTTCTGATGTGTGGGGGAGATGCTGATGAATGTGTGATATTTTGGAATTTTGATATTTCTGCTTCCTCCTGCAGGATTTCTAGTTGGTAGAGAAATATGTATTGTCCCAGCATGTTCTCTCACGTCACACTAATCACATGCAAAAAGGAACATTATTTTTAGTGACAGCACCAAACGAGCAAATTTTAGAAGAGATAAAAGTATAAAGTTACAGATAGAAAAAGCAATTCTGTTAACTAAAGGAGGTCTCCTTTTTATCCCTTTTTATTTAACACAGTCCACTTGAGACAGCTACTTCAGTTAGCCACTTTCATGCTCCTTGGTTTTTCAGTTTTTCTTCAGGTGTTGAAAACAGCCAAGCAATGGAGAAAATTGAAGAGTTAGCCCCATTTAGAGATAGTTATTAGAGCGCTCTCACTATTTTTGGAGCTTCTGCATCATACCTTCCAGAAGGCATGGGCAAACCCCACTGGTTTCAGTTCAGGCAGTTTTGTTGAATTTCAGCAACAGATTTGCCTCTAGCACTTTCAGCATCCTCTATTTTGAGTATGTTCCAATTTTTCAAAGCATCCTTTATATGGATGTCCAGCCAGCACTTATTGCTGATTAAAAGGTACTTTACAACTTGAGATAACAAGTTGCAAACTTAATTTTTTATAACAGGTCTAAAAATTTGGATTAAAATGTAGGAAGTGTGTCATGAATCTGCAACCTTCAGTCTAATTTGAGCCAGCAGAGGCTATCTTGATTCAGGCAACCGTTTTCAGCAACTTCTGAACGAAGAGATTAAAGCACAAGCACCAAAGCAATATTGTTTGTCGTCTTTTCTCTCCTGTACTGGTGGTCATAAAAGTAGTGAGTCTTGGAAATTTATTTGTTATGGTGTATTCATGCCAGGCAAGTTTCTGACGACAGAAGAAAACCTGCTGTTGTGTGTAGTCTTCCTGGGGAATGATGCTGCTTCCTAAAGTGCCATGCTGTCTTAATAGAGTCAAACAGGCTCAGCTACTGACAGATGCTTTTTATTGCTTCCTGGAACAAAATTTTGTGGATACAAATGAATACACAAACAATTAAGTGCTGCCAAAGTGGCACTTCCAAAGGAAACAAATCATTGTCTGAAATTCTCATATGTTGCTTTGTATTTATTCCAAAGTAATATTTGTTTCAAGGGGATAGAAGTAAGATGTCTATCTGTAAGCTGAATTGTTTCACAAAGGTTCTGGCTGTTCTGTGTGTTGTCACAGAGGATGTACTGCAGGCCCTCTAGTCCTGACCTCACTAGTACAGAACTTATTTTAGCAGGAGAATTAGCATGATTGCACTGCACAAAGAGCACATACCATCACAGACATGCCAAAGACTCCAAGAGCTGCTTAATTATCCCTCCCAGAGTGCAAGGTAAGGGAAGATCCAGGACAGCAATGGGAGATGATCAAACTGCCTTCTCTGCAGTGTGAGGCAGTGTGAGACAGTGTAATTGCGCTAGGAAGTGTCCACTCTGAAGCAGCTGTGTTACTTGGTAGAACCACATCATCTGTTCCTTCCCAGCCTGAGTGGAGCTTTGCGTTTTCATCACAGTCTTATTCTGACCACTACTGAGAAAAATGACCGACTTCCCCTCTGTAGATCAGTTTATTCACCATTTCCTCAGCCCATGAGACTTCACAGCATTACATTCTGGCTTAAAACAACTTCCTCTGCCCTGCATTTGCTGATACCAAGTAGAGCTGAAGAGCTAAAGGAAAATGGTACCCCAGCCTGTGTCTCAGATGAGAGGGGGTAGGCAGCATGGTGTTAGTATGTGCAGTTGCATCTGCATGTCTATTCCCAAATTCTGTTGTTGAGGGTGCTGTTGTTCCTAGCAACACTATTATTTTAAGCTCCTTTGTTCTTCTCCCTCTCAGAGTAAGAAATCAGAGAATAAAGCTGTTCTAAGGTCAGTCATCCTAAGATAACATGCTGACATCCTTATAAAGCTGAATTTGCCGTGGACACTAGCCTAGGCTGCAAGAAGTTAAATAGGCAATTTTATCCTGATGGGAATAGACTTTCTTTTAGCTCACCTCTTGACCTGAGAGCTGTACCCCATGCCCAGCACCGAGAGTCATCCCGTATATTTGCAGCTCCATCCATCGCATGTGATGTTTTGGCAGGGAGACACTCCTGATACCAAGCACAGGGCAGGGTTCAAGCATTGTGTGGCAGCCCCATTGTGTCCCCTGAAATCCACATTAAAAAGTGTGCCATCAGTGTCAGCTCTGTGTTTAGGCATGCTGAAATAGTTATTTAGTTATCAGCACCCTTGTATTTCCAGGATTTCCCATCTTCCCCTTATCCCTAAATCTATGGGCATCTATACAGTTCTCATCTAGTGAATACTCTCAGAGGTTTATACCCTTTTCCTTGGTCAGAAAATTTAGGTTTGCTGGGTCCTATTTCCTGATGCTTCCAGTAGTGGGCCCTGGATCAGTAGCTTTAATATTGATAGAAAGCAATCAGACATGTAAGGCAGGTTTGAAACCTCACTTTTTGGGAAAAGGAAAAAAGTTGGATGTGATACTGAATAGACTCAAAAATTTACCAATGCTTTGTAATTTTTTTTAAAACAGGTATTGAAAGACCAATTATAGTAAGAGATTTCTGACAGGAATGACTACTTGCATGTGAAACACCATCTTTCTTTTTCTTCACAGTTGAAGGCACTGAAGTAGTTAACTATTCCTTAGTCCTTCATCATACATCCTTCCTGTGTACAGTCTTTTGCATTATCTTTTCTCTCTTACACCTGCAGGCAGACAGTCTCAAGGCAAGGTGCAAGGCAGAGTGGCCATGATCATAGATAACAGTCATGCAGAACTATAGATTTTATTAGTAATACTAATCTGGGAAAGGTGTTTAAAATCATATGTTTCCAGACTGATTGTACTGCCAGGCAGGATCAGATCTCTGTATAGAACAGACTGCCACATGAGCTTGCTGCATTGTAGAGCCTTCTCCAGTTGTTGTCTCCTGGTGCATGTTGGATCCTGGCTGTCTATCTCAGACCTGCACCTTACTGTTGTGAGCAAGAGGCAGACACAACTTGCCTAGGGTCTTCACATCATCTCCTTGGATATCCACAGCTATTTGGAGGGCTGTGATCACTAAGCAAGCATAGATCCATTTTCACAATCATTTGTATTTGTTTCTTGTACTTTCCTGCTTGTACTGAAAATGTTGAACAGCATTAACAACTTTCACTAGGTAAGTGTCCTAAAATTGACCGGGGAGAGAATTCTGGTGAAGCCTCTGATCTTATCTCCTGGCTTGCAGAATTGCACATGCATAAAACAGGCAACTCTTTCTTCACACTGTTTTGTGCAGAAGTTTGAAAGTGCAACATTGAAACTTGTATACCATTTCTTTTAACAATAAGTAGATTTTCTACATATCATTAGCAGCTAAAATTATCTCCAATTTTTTTTGTTCATTTTTCTTTTTGCTTTTTTTTGGGACAGATTTCTGGGATTCCTATTTAAACCACAGAAGACAGGACTTATTCCACACTGCAAAAGACTCTGCTTTCAGTACTGCCCAAGCAGACAGTTCAAGATCTACCCAGTGTTTTGCAAGTAGCACAAACCACTGCTCATGTGAAATTGAGCTGTCAATAGGAAGTGACAGGCTGTGGTTCGTGAACCCTATTTTTATAGAAGAGTGCAGTAGTCCTTGTCCTCCAGATGTACCTTCTCCTAAAGGCCACTCTGGGAGCATTGATCTCCCCCCTTCCACCATGCTTACTGAAAGGAGATCTCCTCGACGGCCTCCTCCCCCTCCACCTTCTCATGCCCTCATTCAGAAATCTTCCCTGAAGCTCCCACAGGACCCCACGACTGCCTGTGAAAAAAACAAGCTACTTATTAAGCCACTAGGAAAGAGCATGGAGGAAATTAAAATTGAGGGCGGTGATGATAAAGAAGAAAGGAAGCAGAGCTGCTTGGCCAATGAGCCCTTGGCAGTGAGCCCCAAGAAGGGCTCCCAGCCCTCTGCTCCCCCACGGAGGCGGCTGAGTGAGAAGACCTCAGAGGAGAGCTGTGTGGGTAATCGTGAAAGTTGTGAAACGCTGAAAGGGGAAGGGGCAGAAGAAAACCAAGATACAAGTGAAGAGAGCAGAGATAAAACATTGCTGTGCAAAAAGGCTGCAGAAATGCCTGGGGAGGTTCCCAAAAGGGCTGTATCACAGTTTCAGAAGACAAGGCCTGAACCTGCAGAGAAGAAGGAGGACATGCCTAAGATAGAAAGCTATACCAGTGAGAAAGGAAAGTCACCTCCTATCCCACCACCGAGAAGGAAGAGGGTTTCCCAGGTACCGAGGATCCCCAGCTCCTGCCAGCCAAAGCAAAGAACAGAGACAGCCGTGGCCACCGGGCAGGCTGTGTGCAAGAACAGCCCAGCTACAGCGACAAGTGGTTTCACATGCACACACACCAAGACTGAAGCGAGACATGGCCACAAATCTGTCAGTTCAACTGAACTGGAAGGTTCCCACTTGTCCCTGGAGGACCCGGGAGGCAGCACCATGGCTCAGGCATCAACATCTGAGCCAGACTCCTACTCCACCAGCAGCACAGAGGATGACCTGGAGATACTGAGTAGCTCATCTGGTAAAAAGACACGGTCTGTGATCTTGGCCAAAGCCAAAAACAGGCTGTCCTTGGTGAACCTGTCCAACGTCTTCACAGTCTTTTTGTCTAGTGACAGGAAGCTGCAGAAGAAGATAGTGGAGCTGGCACAGGACAAGGATTCATACTTTGGCAACCTGGTGCGGGACTATAGAGTGTACAGTTTAGAGATGATGGCAAAGCAGAGTTCCAGCACAGAGATGCTACAAGAGATCCGGCTGATGATGACACAGCTGAAGAGTTACTTAGTGCAGAGCACTGAGTTGAAATCTCTGATAGACCCAGCCTCCTACACCGACGAACAATTAGGTAGGTAACTGTGGTTTATTCATCCCCGGGCATGGTTTGGGAAGGTGAGGAGGGAGACAGAATTATGCGGACACAGGCTCTGCTTTACAGAATTATAAACTGTCTCCTAAAACCTAAAGCAGCATGAATTGAAGCCTGCTCTGTGGTTTCCAGTGCTTGGAGAAACAGCTCTAAAACCTGAAGACCAATGAGGGGAAAAATCCCCTTATGAATGTTTTAAAGGGAAGAGTTTAAGTTGAAGAGATATGTGTTTGTATATGTGTGTGTGTGTGTGTGTGTGTGTGTGTGTGTTTATGTATACAGATAAATTTGTACACACAGAGCTGAATTCACTGGAAACACAAAAGGCAAACCTTTCCCTTCACAGCTGCATTCCCATGGCCTTCTACATCTATTGCTCTGCTACAAGGATGAAGATTGGCTATGGATGCAGGGAGTTCCCTGCATGTGGCATACAGTTTAGAGGTCAATCACACTCTCACAGGAAGGGACAAGACTATGGTGATTTTGAATGGCAGGTTGGAGGAATCACTCGATTCTGCTTTGTGTTTCTCAGAGCTCAGAGGTACAGAAGAGCTGTCTGTTGCAAGACTAGTGCCAGTTCCAAAATGAAGTGTTCACCTTTTTGCCACAGATATAATTTGCCTTAGGGAAGAAAAAATATTATTTAGAACTGTTTACAGGTGTTTAATTGTTTCTCATTCATATCTTGTGAGAGAATAATATGTTACTTCTCTCTTTCCTAAGGCTTGGACTGGTCTATTTAATGTATATCCATGAGGCTATGGTAAAAAGAGCTGTAGGACTTTTTATCCCAGTGAAAGCTGTACAGCCAGAAAAAGCATGCAAGCGCACACACACATGCTCCTTTGAAAGCTTAAAACTGTTTCTTGAGGACCTCAGAACCAATGCAGAACTATTTGTGGATCCTCAAGTCAGCTTAAAACAAGCTGGGAGCTGGAATACCCAGAATATGGAGTGAACCACAGGAGTGACCAGGGATTCCAGGAGATCCTTCAGTATTAGGTATTCGGTATTAGGTATGCAGTATTAGGGACTCAGCTAAGTGGTGAGCCAGGGGTAAAAGGCAGTCCACATCGGTCACAGTGGGCTCTGCTGATTTCCTTCTCCCCCAGCCAAGGCTTCATATGATCCTGCAGATCCCCAACAGAACAGACTTGCAGCCAGCCCCTGCCATAGCTAGGAGTGGGAATCTGCAGTTTCACTTCCTAGGCACCTTGTGTAACCTCTTCAATCTTTGTCCTAATAACCTCTTTCTTCAAGGTGGGGAGTGTGGGGGCAGAACAAAAAAGTCTGTCTTGAATCTTGATTAGTGAAAGTGGAAAGGAAGAAAAAAGTGTCCTTGTTATGCTTGGTAGAGCTGCATGTGTGCATGTATCCCACCACCTTCCCACAGACATGCCTGGTTCTAACCCTGTATCTAATCCTGTTCACTGATGGCTCCTTAATAGGATGATGTGGCCCGGTTAGCACTGACAGGACTGTCTTCATCTGTGGAGGACAGGGATTCCACTGGAAGATTTACCACTTGAATTTGCCCTGTTTCAGGATGATTGGTTCTCTGGATTCTTTAAAATAGTTGCATTATGAATACATAAATATTATTGCCCTCTGGTTCGTTCCTCACTGCCTGAGCAGATGAACTCTTTTGCCAATGACCTTTTTGCCTCAGTGCAACAAGAGGATCTCTTGCAGTCCCTCTAATTCCTAGGAGTTGCCTCTGGTTTCTAGGAATCAGACAACAGACTTCCTCACAGTCTTCCTTCCTTTAATCTTCAGCCAAATATTAAGCAAATGCTCAACCCACTCATACTATTTTCTCCTCCATAGGTGGCATAAGAAATATTTTATAGGATCAGTAATTTAGCAGTAACGATGAGAAACTTCTGACCAGATATTGATATCTGTCTCTGAGCTGGTGGCTGCAGCTGCTTTGAGGAAAGAAAGGGGTACTTTGAGGGTGTAATTAATTTCATCCCAAAGTGAATATCTCAAACAAGTCAGAAGGGACGTGAGATGAATTGCATCTGGGCATCTGTAAGGGCACGGCTGTGAAAAAAATCACTGTTGGGTGAGATTCCTCTTCTCTCCCCAGAGTTGGCTTTCCTGCTGCCTGGCAATGCCATGCTGGTCAGCCAGGAGTCAGGCAAAGAGAGCAGGGACTGCTGGTAGCAGGAGGTCTCCTACAGCTCCAGTGACAGAGACCACACACTGCTGTTCATCTCAAGCCCATCTAGGACTTCTGGATAGTGTTGGTAATGAAATGTTTACTTTCTGGGATGTAATTTCTGTTCCCTTCTCACAGCTATGTAGTAGTGCTTGAATAACCAAACACATGCTTCCTTAGGACTTCCTTAGGACTTTTACTGTATTGCTTATTTATTATGGGCTTTTGTGTTCTCCCTTCTCTATGCAGAAGTGATTGCTGAGACAGCTTTGTACAAATGTGTCCTGAAACCTTTAAAGGAAGCCATTAATTCGTCCTTAAAAGAAATACACAACAAAGACGGATCTTTACAGCAGCTGAAAGAGAACCAACTTGTGATACAAAACACAACTACCACTGACCTGGGCATCACAACCAGTGTGCCTGAAACTGCTGTGCTGGAAAAGATCCTTCACAAGTTCACGACCATGCACAAGACTTACTCTCCAGAAAAGAAAATTGCCATCTTGCTAAAGACCTGCAAACTCATCTATGACTCCATGGCTCAGGGAAATCCAGGTACAGGACTCTTACTGCAAATGTTATCCACTGTGGGTCTTTCTCCATGTATCAAAGGAACAGTTTATGATACTGCTGGCATGGCAATATTCTCATTGGAGGTAGCAGTGATGGTTGATGTGTCTGGTATCAGATGTCTGCAGGTTGTGTTCAGAATGGAATGGTTAGTGACATTTTCTGCACTAATAACTGGTATACGATATTACCTGGTTAACTTTAAGCTCCGTAACTCCAAAAACTGTGTGTGTTTTATGGATGTTTTATGGATAATGTTATTTTTGCACAGGTCTTCACACAGCTCTCCAAATATCCTCAGGGCTCTGTACCAGCTTGTTGCAGAGTAATGGTAAATTCTAGGAATGGGTCTTTGTGAAAAGACTTGATTTGGCCTTTTCAGGCCAAAATTTTAGTTTTGCCTAATCTGAGAAGGAGATGCAGCGTGCTAGTAGTTTGTCACTAATTCCTGATGCTACAGTAAATTCTAAAAGCCACTTCTTCAGTGCAAGGCAGTATGTGCTCAACATGGGCCTCAGGCCAACCACTAATACAGAAATTAAATCCTTGGCCTGCAGAGAGGATGCATCTTTGTAGGTAGACCAGCAAGTCCCTTCCTCCAGCAATCTGCTTTGCTAGTTCCAGAGCTTTTTTTTGTATACTGTGAGCAGAGAAGCCAGGTATTAATTTGCAATAACCTGTGGTTGTTCAAGAACTCACAATCACAAAAGGTGTTTTTAGCTGTTCTGCTTTATTTTGTACTGGCAACAGCCTTGGAGTGCTCATACAGGGATTGTTATGTCCCTGCTGAGCCTCACCTCAAGGTGATCTCTTGGATAGTAAGCAGCAAGGTTCAGGGACCAGTCTAGACACATTAACAGCAGAGCAAGAAACCACCCCAGGGCTAAGCCTTAGCTGCAGGGTGGAAAGGACCTTTCACTGTCTCCAGGAATTATGAGATTTAGATATATGTAGAGGAATTTGCTGTAACTTTGTTAAAACAGTTGTGTGAAGTCTGAGAATAAATTTGGTTTAGGTGAAGGACTTGCAAGCCTCATTAAAACCCACATAGTCTCCTTCTGATGCTGGTGGTATGTTACATACACATCACATCTTAGTTTGCTCAGGGATGGAATTTCTCTGTTGAAGGAAATACTGTTGTGTCACAACAGAAATAAGGAGTCAGGGAAATAACTCAAAAACCCCTACATGTTTAAGATACTGACATTCATGAAATCAGATGGTTTCATTGTGGTTTGCTACACTAATCAAAGCACTGCATTTTGGCCAGCTCAGCTGTTTTCTCATTCTGAGTACTACTGCCAGCAGGGTGTAGGTTGGAAGCTGATTTCACCCCTGTGTATCCAGTTCCCTCTCCCTTATACATGATCACTGATGCATATCAGGGCTTGGCCAGAAAAAAACTAGCCTGGAAATATGGAAATGTACCCCAATGAATTCAGACCTGAAAAAGAGGCTAAGGGGAGAAGAATGCTGTATCTAACTCCTGGAAAGGAGCAGACTTGGAGAGAAATTGAGTGAAATGCCTTGTAGACCCATTTAGAAGTAAAATGTGTGAAGCCTCTTCCACAGAACGAACTGAACCCAGAGAATTTTCATTTTCCAGTGGCAAAGACAAATTCTCAGCAACCTGAAATATTTTTCTGACAGCAAATTCCAGCTGGTGGCATGAAGAGCATGCTGTGGGCTGCTCAGAGCAGATTTCAGCAGGTGGGAATTCTGCTTCTCTCTGCCCATCTCAAGAGCAATAGAACAGGGCCCCTTTTGCTTTCAGCCAGCCATGAGGCAGCACAGTGTTCTTCACACAGGAAGAGCAGAGGCCATGCTCAGCTTCCTGTGCAATAACTTATTCTCCTTTTTGCTCCTTTTCCTCACTGCTCAATTAGAAAGTTCTCTCCTCTTCCAAGATCAGAGCAGGTGAAACACAAGCTAATAATTTCCTTTGCTACAGGACCAAAATCAGTCTATCTCTGTCAGAATCACTGCTTGTTCAATAACATGGAAACCACTTGTGTTGCGTGGTTAAATTTACAATTTGTTGGCTCAGGCCAGGTCTTTATTCACTTTAGGCTGGCCACAGGATGAGCTGACCTAAGAATATGGTTTCATTTCTCAGAGCAAAATGCAAGCACCTTTTCTTTTCAAACATATATGAAAATACAAGTTTTTTAACATTTTGAGACCCATGTACAGCAGTCTGTGTTTGGCCAGGATGTACCTTGGTACCAAGAGGTACCAAGTTTCCTTTAAAACTAAGGACAGGCTTACTCAGGAACATCTGTACCTGTGGTGGTGCCCATCTTTGTCCTCCTGAAAGAGTCATGAAACTTTAAAGTCTGCCTTGACTGACTCCATGTCAAGGCATTTTAAGAAAGGAGGAGATCTTTGGTTTGATTACAATTCACATTACATGACAAAATCTGCCTAATAAATTGGCTGTGGTTGAAATCCCTGATACTGAATACTAAGAACTGAATGGTTCAGATCCTGAACTGGTTTAAACTAGCATTTCTTCCTCAAGCTGAAGGCAATCAGCTTGTGTAAGTGATTGATCACAAAGAATTAGGAAGGCAAGTTCACTTGTATAACAAGTCTTTGATTTACAGCTTTCTCTCGAGAGACCACTGAGTACAGCTCCATGACAGAGTTGAAGTAGAACTAATCTCTGGCTGCATCTCTCTGTAGGTGGCCACAAAGGGGTATCATGCCCAGCTTCCCAGCACACACATTGTGCAGGCAGTCCATGGAGTCCTGATGATTCATCTGGCTACATATAGGTTTCTGCTTTAGAGCAAGATGACTCAAGGCAAACTCCAGTGACAATACTGATTAATTCATTACTGGCTATAAAAGAAATTAAGGGGCCTGGGCTCAGATGCTCATATGTACTATGTAGGCAGTGATATTAGTAAGTGAATCCTCACCAAAGGCACAATTATGATAGTATTGAGATGTCTCCCTGAGCTTTTCCAATTCCTATGCAAACTTAAATAACTCAAACATATGCCTCCAAGAATATAACCGACAATCTGAAAATATGTAACCTGCCTGCTAAAAATACTAGGAATAGTAAGAATAAAATGCATTGGAAAAAAATAGAGTTTGGAAACCCATGCCCCACAAAATGGCTGGCATTTTTTTGTTACTAAAAAAATTAAGAGACAGGGATCATGCAGTTCTTACACTTGGAAGGCATGCTGCAATATGCACAGGGACAGCTGGGCACATAGGTCATTTATGTAGAAACACAGTAATGTTATATAGAAAAAAACCCTTATTATGTGTCTTTCAGAAATACCCTTCCTCAGACAAAAGATTAAACGTACATTGTGTGATATGAGTAGAATGAGAATCTCTGCTTTTCTTCAAGAACACAAGTGACGCCTGTAGAGTAAAAAACTATGGAACTCTGCAATACGTGTGGCGTGAACAGGCAGTGGTGTGCCTGGGTCACCCAGCCTCGTGCTGCCTGGGAGCTGCCACTGTGGAAGATGATGGAAAAACAAAGCAGCAGTAGGCATTGGTTTATGGAAACAGTCTGTGAGGCAAACAGGCCAAATTTGGTCAGTCCGTGAGTGAGGAAAATAAAGGATGGAAAAGCTCTAAGTTTTGGCTGGAAGTTTGAAAGATGGGCAGATTGCTTTCAAAGGAGATTCAAGAAGAATGGAGGTACAATTTTCTTACTGCAACATTTCTAACTTGTGAACTACCAAAAATTATGAAGCTTCATTTTTGGACTATCTTTGAACTGCATAGGCAGCTGAGTATATAATTCAAAACTCTAGTTCGTACTAGTTATGGAATTGGTTAGGTGACCAAAGCATCTGATATAATAATTTCTATTGCATAATTTTACATAGATAATGTGCATAGTCTGCTTTTGGAAAAAGCGGATAGATAAGACATATATTCCATTGGAATATTTCTCTTCCTTAGCTTTTAGAATGAAGTTTGTCACCCCTACAGAACTGAGCAGCCAGATATTAGCTTCCCTGATGCACTCCTATAAGGATCTGCAGTTGGTGAAGAGAAAGCTGTGTTTTCAGTGGGATAGCTGAACTTGTGCAAAGGAAACTGGACTCCAATACTTCAGCAGCCAGTGAAGAGCCCATTCTAGAAGCTCCTAAAGCTGTCAGAGCAATCCCATTACACTGCTTATTATCATATCTCACTTCTGAGAAGGAAAATAAGGCTATACATAACAGGTTTACTTTGATACCTTTTGGAAGAGGATATTTGTATTTAAGTTACTTTTAATGAAGACTGATGGACTGATTTTGGGTTTTCTGCCATCTAGCACATTTTCTACATTTGAATCAAAGAGAGTTCAAATTTTTCATGGGGAGCAAAATTCCTCTGATCTCTAAACCATACATTTTTGAAGTGAATTCATGCTGTCTGCAGCTATTAACTCACTGAATTCACTATATCACAAATTAAACCTTGCTGAAAGTATTATGGGATAGACAAGAGACAGCAAAATGCTAGTGTGTGGAAGGAAAGTCGTAATCTTTTCTTATGATCTTGAACAAATCCCAGTTAACCTTTCTGCATCTCAGGTTTCCTAGCTACAAACTGAGGCTAAAATTCACATTTTGTGGAGATCTGCTTCTAGACATCAAGCTAGTGTTCATAAAATATTAGGTGCAGGGCATCACCTCTGCTGGTTTTCAGAATACACACAGACAGAAAAGAAATGCATGAATGTGTTAAAATAGGCTGTAATTTCTTTATGGAGGCTTGGGCAGAATTCCAGTTGCTTTAAATCATGCATTTAATTAATACTCATCTATTCAAGTGCTGCATGCCAGCCAGGAGATGACGTTGTATTTGCTTTGCTATAAACATAATAGGATGAGTTTGTGGCAGAAGAGAAGGCTTATTTTAAGCTTCTTAGAGATATTTATGAAATAAATGTTTCCTGACCCCACAGGGAAGAAGGGGAAATAAAGCAAGCAAGTCATATTTGGAGTAGGACACCACCACCTTGAATAGGCAAACTCAGTCTCACTGTCACTGGAGCAGTGGCAGGGTCAGATCTAGATTTAACTCTGTCAGCTGCAATAATTCCCCTCTGTGAGAGACCACAGATGGAGCAAGCCACACAGGTCTAGGAATTTGGCTTGGTCCCAGCTTGAAAGTAGAGCTGAGGAGGCAGCAGCCTGCAGAGAATACTCCTGCTGCAGCTCCCAGATGGACACTGGCTAGTGCCTTGGTGCCTTTCATGGCATAGGAAGCATGTGGGTTCTACAGTCCTGAAGCAACCTTTCAAGTCTCTTGGTTCACAGGCATTACTTCATCTATCCTTGTAGATTCCTGCTTCTGGTCATGTTTGAGTTACTGACAGCACCTATTACCCCCAGGGATGGACTGAGATACAGAGCACCTCAGGGCCATACTTGGACTGATGTCAGAGGTAATCCCTGGACCTGCAGGGGCCAGGAGAGCAGGGGAGAATCCGAGTCCTGCCCTCTCAGGCACTTCTCCTTGGCTCCAGGTGCAGTCAGTGGAGAGATGCTATTGAGATGCCTACAAGGTACAATATACTATTGTATATGGTCTGACCTGCCCTTGGCCACATTGGAGGTTTGTGGCAACACGTGGAGTCAGAGCTATATCACTGGTGATTAGTTTTGCTTTTCCCTTGTTGACACATACTGCTCCTGCTGACTTTAGCTTTTGCTATGCACATGGGTGTTTAAAATTGGATGTCATATAGCCACAGGTGGATTAAGGTGGTGTCTCGTTATTTAGACAGCTTGTGGGCATACAGAATATGGAACATGTGTTCGTTCCATTATTTCAGTCAGACATCCCTGCTCAGCATTTATTACACAAAAAGGAACTGTAGATCAGATTTTAGCATTTAAGGCATATAAATGGCTGGGAGTCCAATAATATTTCTATGAAGTCTTAAAGTTGAGAAGAGTTTATACCAAGGACTGGAGGGCAGAGCAGCTAAATCAGCTTATAGAAAAGAGATAAACAGCATAAAAAAGAGTTGTCTTCATGCCTGACTGTACATACAACGACTTCTCACTTCTCACTTCTCTCACAAAAAAGAAACAGATTCTGTAGGCATTCTTGAGAATTTTCCCCTAACTTTACTTCTGTTGACACCAGAGGCTGATGAATGGGGACATTGAATTGTTTTGTTCCAAGCTGCTGTTTCCATTCTGCATTAGTTTGTCAGTCTGTTCTCCGTTCATGATCTATTTTGGTGACATGCAAAAAAACACCAACCAACCAACCAGCCCACCACCAAACAAACAACCCAAGGTTTTTCTCCAGTGAATAGAAATTTATACTGTGAAGTAGCAACTTTCTTGGATGCCCTATCAGACACCACACAAATTAGTAATGAAAGGGAAGTAGTAGGAGAAATTCTGCTGTTGGTGTTGCCTTGGAAATCCCTTGGCCTTCAGGAAACTATAATGATTCTATCCATGCCACTGGTAAGTACTTACTAGATCACAAAGAAGAAGTTTTTAATGAAGGGAAGAATGAGCCTAAAAAATCTTTGGTATTTTGTATTCCTTTACACTAATTTCAATTAGAGCTAACTCTGTTGGCCTCTGGTGTACCTGGAGCAAAAGGAGAATAGCACTTTTTGCTGTGAAGTTTTTCTGTTACATTTTCATGTCTCAGTTTTGTCATCTTTTTCTTTTTCCTGGAAAATATTGAACAGCTGTAATACTAAGCTGCTTGTATTAAGGTAATGTATACGACAGTAACGAATTAGACCCTTTGCATAGCTAAAGCTTTCAAAGAGACATAAGCCAAAGGAAAAACAGACAAAAAGATGTTCATCCAGATGTTAATGGAACAATGAAGTCCACTTATAGTTTCGTTGGAGACCTAAGGCTGTGTCTTTTAAGTAAATGCAGCCATAACCAAGCAACCAGAACTGAAAGTGTTAATCCAGCTTCCATTAAATAAACAGTCTGTGTTGTGGCCTGTGTGGGCTCTGTTAAAAACAGACTGAGTTACAGCCCTGATGATTTCTCCTTCTCTAACACTTTGTTTTAAATGGATCAACTCTCTGTTCGCTAGATGTATAACTGGGTTTATTTCAAAGCCACA